AATTACACTGATAATATGCTCATTTTCGATAATAAACAAAATGTTAAAATAACTATGGAAACGTTAGAATTGTTACGTTTATTATTTGCAAGTTGTCATGGTAAAACTTAATGTTGTTTTCAGATAACTGTTCACATGCGAGATCGACGTTGTTCTTCGTGGAATCCGTGAATTCTAAAGATTTTGTGGCGCGTCGTGCAGATTCGTGGCAGGATTATTTATCAGGAAACTATAGTAACGAGGAATCGGTTGTTTTCGGTGAAGACACGCCGACGGAGACGCGCGGCGTTTACTATTTTCGCACGAACGCGCAAAGTCCGTACGCGATGGGAGAAAAGAAAACAGGATGATGCAATTATTATTGAACGTTTAGTTTAATTAGTTAATAAAATTTATTTAATTGCAAGAAGAAAAAATTGTATTGATTTGAATCCGATTTGAGTGCTTACTGTTTTGTTTGTAGATTATAAATTTGTTAGAAACAAAAGAATTAAGTTTACGACATGTTGTAGGTTATAATGATAATAAAATTTGATATTCTTAGGTTAAAGAAAGTTTTTTTTTTCATTATTTAATATAAATCACACTTTATTTTTATGTTTTCAAAAATTTTAAACTTTCCTGGAAATATAGGTTATAAATCATATATTTACATCATTGACCATCATTTTTTTCTTCAGTTTTTCTTGAATTTCTCGTCAACCCCTAAAGGTAAATAAATCATAGACCACTCGTATGAAAGCTGAATATCTCACCTTTCCAATAAGCCTACATACATCTTGGTGCTGTCATCTAGTCACCGGCTATGAGCTATCGAAATTGGAAAAAAAGTGAATAGGATTCTCAAGTTTTCAATTTTTTCACGTTTTCTTAATTACAAAAAAAATACTTAACTTTTGATACATTTTATGATTGCGTAAGATTGGCGAGACCCTTACGCAACTTTTTATGAAACAAAATTTAGATATTGTTCATTAGGTAACAGGAAATAGACGATTTTAGCGATTTTTTTTTCAGTTTTTCGTGAATTTCTCGACAACCCCTCAAGATAATTACATCATTGACCACTCGTATGAAAGCTGAATATCTCACCTTTCCAATAAGCTTACATACATATTTGTAGTGTCATCGAGTCGCCTGTTATAAGCTATAGAAATTTGAAAAAAAGTAAATTGAATTTGCCAAAAACTGGATGTTTTTAGTTTTACGATAATAACTCAAAAAGTAATAAACTTCTTTATGATTTTAATGCATAATCAGATGCACGCAACTTTTTATGTAACAAAAGTTACGTAATGTTCATTACAAACGACGTTTTTTTCCATTTTTTTTTAGTTTTTCGTGAATTTCTCTACAACCCCTAGAGATAATTACATAATCGACCACTCGTATGAAAGCTGAATGTCTCACCTTTCCAACGAGCCTACTTACATCTTCGTGCTATCGCCAACACGCCTGCTATGAGTCGTAGAAATTGACAAAAAAAGTGAATAGGATTTTCGCAGTTTCAATTTTTTACCCGTTTCATTTATCTTTATTTTAACTAAATAAGTAAGGATTAATGAAAACTTAATTAGAATACAGTGCGTGTATCAAATAAGTAAAGATATATTTAGAAATTTTGCATGTTTTCAATTTTTAGGTTATAATTATAAGATACACTCTCGATTACATAACAATGTTATAGAAAAAATTATACATAACACAAACAAGACTAATTCAGTTTCAAGTCATTTACGAAACTTAATAAGATTGACATTGTTTTGCGAGACAATTGTTTGTTTATTAACAACAGTTGCTTAGTTACGAAACTATTTTAGGTTATCTTTTGTATTTGTAAATTGAAGATTAAATTAAAGAATTACATTGAATGGTAATATTAGAAACGTTTATTTAATGTTACAATAATAAATTTTTATTTCTTTGTTTTACAAAAGAACGAAATAAAAGAAACAAAAACGCATCGATCGTTTACAAAACTATCATTATTTATAAAAAAAAAAAAAGAAACAAAAAAAATAATAATAATAAATGAATGAAACTAGAGGAAAAAGGAAAAATGGCATGTGTCGCACACACACAGAGAATGCTGCACCAAAAGTGTTTTCATTTCCAATATGTGTTTGTCGATGTTTCCTGGTCTTTCACCCCATTTTCCAGTATGTTTTGATGTTGATTAAACGGAACTGTTACAAAATTATGTGGATGTGCATACATGTTGTGTATGCGGAAGAGAAAACTAATACTAATACGATTATTAAACTATTTGTGAGGGAGGAGACACTAGACTAGAAGGAGCCGCCTGTCTGCTGCTGGTACACTTCGATTGTGTCACCCTCCTCCATCTCGAGGGAGGTCGGTGTGTCTGTCTCGTTGATGGGGTTCCCATCGAAACGGAAACGCACCACGTTCAGGCTGAGACCTGCCCTGTCGCAGTAGGCGCTCATCAGCTTCCGCAGTGGGGTGTGCTTCTTGATCTTGAACTGAACAACAGCGTTGTCCTGTCCCAGCACTTTCAAGTTGATGTGCTCAGAATCCGATACTTTCTTGTCATCACCCATGGTTACTCTCTATCTCTCTCCGGACTGCTAAAACAATTGAATTTCAGTGAGTAAGCTACACATATACACACATAATCACGTTATCTTTACTACTTACGTTTCAAACACTAAAGAATTCTAAGAGAATTCCTCTTTTCTGTTAACAGTGAAGAACTGCGCGAACACACTGAGAATTCAGACGAGCGAAGAACTTTTTTGCGGGAAACTGAGGTTAGCTTAGATGCCTTCTCCGAACGCACGACCAACTGTCAATATCTGGAGTGAAGTTAGCGGCACGTCGCCAATCACCAAAATCTGGAACTGTTTGCAACAAGGAAACCAACATTAAAAACTATAGTGATTCGATAAATGTTTGGTGAAATTTAGTGGAAAACCGTTGAGGAGAATAGTCCAATCACGTTGGCTGCAATGAGAAAATGGAAATTTTCCAATTCGAATTTGAATTTAAAATCGTTTATCTTTATAAATCATCAATTTTCTCGATAACCATACACGATGCAATATAATGGAGGAGCATAACAATTAAAGTTAAAGCAAAAATAAAGCATAAGAGTTGAATATAACCAAGAAACGATGTCTTCGCCTTTCAGTGAATTACTTGAGAACCGCTCAAGATAATTACATCATTGATCACTCGTATGAAAGCTGAATGTCTCACCTTTCCAACGAGCCTACTTGCATTTTCGTGCTGTCGCGGAGTCACCTGCTATGAGCTGTAGAAATTGAAAAAAAAAGTGAATAGGATTTAACAAAAAAAATAGATTTTCGTTAATAACTCGAAAACTAATAAACTTCTTTATGATTTCATTGCATAATCATATGCACGCGAGCGTTGCGCAACTTTTTATGTAACAAAAGTTACGTAATGTTCGTTGCGTAACAGAAAAACGACGTTTGATTTTAGTGAATTTCTAATTGGATTTTGTTGAAAATCGCAGAAACGATGTCTTCGCTTTTCAGTGAATTACTCGAGAACCGCCGAAGATAATTACATCGTTTTATGCTCAATTCAAAGCTAAAAGTCTAACCTTTCCAACGAGCCATCATCCGTTTATGTGCTAGTATCTGTAATCAGACAGTAGCATATTGAAATCAGTGAACTTCTAATTGGATTTTGTTGAAAATCGGAGAAACGATGTCTTCGCTTTTGAGTGAATTACTCGAGAACCGGCGAAGATAATTACATCATTTTACGCTCAAATTAAAGCTGAAAGACTCACTTTTCAACGAGCCATAATTCGTTTATGTGCTAGTATCTGTAATCAGGCAGTAGCACATTGAAATCACTGAATTTTGTTGAAAATCGCATGTCTTCGCTTTTCAGTGAATTACTCGAGAACCGCCGAAGATAATTACATCGTTTTACACTCAAATTAAAGCTGAAAGTTTCACCTTTCCAATGAGCCATCATCCATTTATGTGCTACCATCTGCAATTAGACAGTAGAGCATTAAAATCACAGTTTTTCGATGTCTTCAGTTTTAGTGAATTACTCGAGAACCGCCGAAGATAATTACATCGTTTTACACTCAAATTAAAGCTAAAAGTCTCACCTTTCCAAAGAGCCATCATCCATTTATGTGCTAGTATCAGCAATCAGACAGTAGCTCATTGAAATCACAGGTTTTCAATGTCTTCAGTTTTAGTGAATTTCTAATTGGATTTTGTTGAAAATCGCAGAAAGGATGTCTTCGCTTTTCAGTGAATTACTCAAGAACTACCGAAGATAATTACATCATTTTACACTCAAATTAAAGCTGAAAGTCTCACCTTTCCAACAAGCCCCCATCCCTTTATGTGCAAGTATCAGTAATCAGACAGTAGCTCATTGAAATCACAGTTTTTCGATGTCTTCAGTTTTACTGAATTTCTAATTGGATTTTGTTGAAAATCGCATGTCATCGCTTTTTAGTCAATTACTCAAGAACCGCTGAAGATAATTACATCGTTTTATACTCAAATTAAAGCTGAAAGTTTCACCTTTCCAACAAGCCCTCATCCCTTTATGTGCAAGTATCACTAATCAGACAGTAGCTCATTGAAATCACAGTTTTTCGATGTCTTCAGTTTTACTGAATTTCTAATTGGATTTTGTTGAAAATCGCATGTCTTCGCTTTTCAGTCAATTACTCAAGAACCGCTGAAGATAATTACATCGTTTTATACTCAAATTAAAGCTGAAAGTCTTACCTATCCAACAAGTCATCATCCGTTTATGTGCTACCATCTGTAATCAGACAGTAGCTCATTGAAATCACAGTTTTTCGATGTGTTCAGTTTTAGTGAATTACTCGAGAACCGCCGAAGATAATTAAATCATTTTACGCTCAAATTAAAGCTAAAAGTCTTACCTTTCCAACGAGTCATCATCAGTTTATATGCTACCATCTGTAATCAGACAGTAGCACATTGAAATCACAGTTTTTCGATGTCTTTGTTGAAAATCGCAGAAACGATGTCTTCGCTTTTCAGTGAATTCCTCGAAAACCGCCGAAGGTAATTACATCATTCTATACTCAAATTAAATCTGAAAGTCTCATCTTTCCAACGAGCCATCATTCATTTATGTGCTACCATCTGCAATCAGACAGTAGCACATTGAAATCACAGTTTTTCGATGTCTTTGTTGAAAATCGCAGAAACGATGTCTTCGCTTTTCAGTGAATTCCTCGAAAACCGCCGTAGGTAATTACATCGTTTTACGCTCAAATTAAAGCTGAAAGTCTCACTTTTCCAACGAGCCCTCGTCCATTTATGTTCTACTATCAGTAATTAGACAGTAGCACATTGAAATCACAGTTTTTCAATGTCTTTAGTTTTACTGAATTTCTAATTGGATTTTGTTGAAAATCGCATGTCTTCGCTTTTTAGTGAATTCCTCGAGAACCGCCGAAGATAATTACATCGTTTTACGCTCAAATTAAAGCTGAAAGTCTCACTTTTCCAACGAGCCCTCGTCCATTTATGTTCTATTATCAGTAATTAGACAGTAGCACATTGAAATCACAGTTTTTCAATGTCTTCAGTTTTAGTGAATTTCTAATTGGATGTCTTCGCTTTTCAGTGAATTCCTCGAGAACCGCTGAAGATAATTATATAGTTTTACGCTCATATTAAAGCTGAAAGTCTTAATTTTCCAACGAGTCATCATCCGTTTATGTG